AGCGTTGATGTGATATTCTCGGCACGCCACTTATAGCACCCTACAGATGTTGAATCTCGTTAAATAGCTTAGTTATAGACTTATCATAGCCCCCAACATCCAATCTAAAAGCACTCGTACGATTTTAAATAGGACTGTATGTAGCCCGATCATGAACTATAACGATAGATAAGTGTTAGATAATTACTTATATAGTTATACGAAGAGTACATTACACGAATGGTTCCTATGGTTTAGGGTAATTTATGCGTTTGGTTCCTAACTTATTTTTTTAACTGGGAAGGTCCCTACTGTTTGTTTTTGTTACGCGATTACTCCTTATTTTTACCTAAAAAGAGTATTTTATCCTAGATTTTTAATTTATTTAAATAACCACCCTCCAACCCCACCCCATCACCTTACCTTACATGCCCCACCATTTTCCCTATTTAAATAAAGTCTTTTTTGTTAGACTGGACCAAGCGTGTATCAAAAATAAATAGTAGGGACCTTCCGAGTTAAAAAAGTAAGTTAGGGATCAAACGTGAAATTTACCCTAAACCATAGGGAATATTCGTGTAATTTACTCTTATACGAATCATGAAGACAATTGTTATTATAAAACTTGTTAATTTTTATACAATAAATTATAAACAATAAACATGGAGACTTGTATGAGGTTACAAACTTGAAATTTACTTCAGTCAGGCAGAAATTATACAATACACACACACACACACACTTGTACTGGGTTACCGGTACAGATCCACATAAGTAAGGTAAGTACTTATTTTCCTCAGATCTTATACTTGTTAGTTAGAAAAGTACACGTTTATATAAACTGGATATCCAATCACAATTATATAAACTTACTTTTGGTTATAAAAGTACACGGTGTCAAAAACCTATGGAACTCACCAACAATTTTTGTTGACGTATCTTTAAAACATGTGTATTCTCAGGAACCTAGAGCTAGAAGCACAGACACATGGAACACTTGTTATCATTCTTATTTTCCTTGCTTTTTTGGTACCTACCTATCTGTTATGGCGGTTGTGCTATATTGCTTTTATATTATATCGAACATTTAATCCGTGAAGTACTTTGAATCACTAATGATGTAAACATCACTTATTGTATTATAGTTATGTATTTTCTTATGTTGTTACTTTTGTTTTGTTCAATTGTATGCTCAATAAGCTTTGATTCATGTTTACATTATGCACCCCGACGTTTCCACCGCTGGTCGGGGGTGTGACACTATGCTAAGAATTACAGTATGAACTGTCATCTACCATCACAAAATATTTGAAACACATTTGATGTCATTCTTGGAATCCATCTTTCACATCTTAGATTTCATAAGAATCCCACTTAACGTTCCAAACTTGTAGCAATGTTTATCTTGCAAAAAACTCCATGCAGTTCTTTCACAACTATGTTCTCATGAGTTTTATAAAAAAACTCCCCAAGGCTTTCTCTAAATATAACTATCATCCTTCTCAATTATAGAAGGTGAGTTGCATGCTTGACTGGTCTTTTAAAAAAATATTGAACACAAGAATTATGTGTATTCATCAAAGGTAAATCAACAAAGGTGAATAAGAATTCTTCATTGTTGCTTCCTCGCAAAGCTTTGAATTTGTAATTCAAAAATCCATTTTTAACCTCCACAACTTCACATTCTTGAATAACAGTAATCTTATATAAACTCTACATTTAATTTTGAGGACTACATATGAAACATAAAACTAGAAGTGCTTCTTAATTAAGGTAATATTTCCAAGGAAACACCAACAATGTTTGGAAAGCTCTGAACACGAAAGCCTTCACAATCATAGGGAATCTAATTGGAAGTGATTCTTGTTCTTCACAAAAAAAGAAGACCTTGAATTAAGACATTATTTCTCAAAATTCTTGATGAATTCATTCAGAATTCTGTTAACAATCCATTCATGCCATAATGCCTTCAAACTTGCATCAACAACCTCTTTTTTTTCTTTGCCTCTTGTTGATCCAATTAAATATCAATTTGTTTCAACTTTTCAAACTCTTCATCTCTCTTTTCTTGAGCTTCTACATCGCTAGGATCAACTTCTGATTGAGATACAATCTTTATAGTACCACATCATCAAGCAACATTTGGAATTTCTATAGTGATTCCTTCCAATCACATTTTCAATGGCTGATCTCCAATAACAATCTTTCTTCCCATCTTAGGCTTCTTCTCCATATTCAAAACAACATCAGGATTCACAATATTAATGTTCACTCTACCCCCATCCCCCCTTGTTGTGAAGTAGAACCGCTACTTAGAACACCATCAATAAGTGATAACTTTGAAAATAAGAATTGAAGGTCGCATCCAAAATTTGTGAAATATAGTCAACATATGGAGCATCCTTTTCCTCAACAATCTTTACAAGACTTTTATTGATTTCAAAAGTTTTTCCCTTAACAATTAGTAATTCATTATCCTTCTTGATTAGTTTAGTCTTCACAATCATTAACTCATCCTTGAGCAAAGTGAACTTTGCAACTTTGCTCGCAATGATATCTTCCATTTTGGCTTCAATATCATAATGCGAAGCCAAATTATTAACCGTGTCAATGAACTTTGAATTGTGAATTGTATTATCAGTTAGAAGAAAACTTTTAAACTCCTTGACCTCATTCAAAGAGGCTTCCATATTTGAGTTTGTCGCAGTCACCAACTTCTCATGCTCTTCGAACAATCTTTTTCTTTCTGAAAGCAAAGTCTTCAAATTAACCTCATTTACAGTCATCACGTGATGGAACTTAGAAGTTGAGAAAAGGTCTTGGTGTTAATCTATGACAAACTGGAATTTCCATTATGTACAAACAGTATCACTTCAATAGAAGTTATAACAGTCATAGTCGATTTTCAGACTTTTCGTATAAGTTGGAGTAATTTAGGGTTTACACTTTAGTAAACATTAGGAGAGTGGTTGCGCTACGGTTTTGTGCAATACTGTTATTCCAACACTCGGATATATTAGAAATCATTTCCGGGATAAAAATATTTTCTGTCAAAATATTTCAGGACTATAAATAGATTTCTGAACTAAATTCATTCATTATTCACATTTTCAACTAGAGAAAAGCCACTTTCTCTCTCACGGATCTTTGGGTTTTCATCCCAAATCGTGAGTCTACTTTCCTAAATGTGTTTTAATGCTTGTTATATTCTTTATGAGATTGTTTACATGTCAAAAATACAAGATCCGGGAGTTTACCACCCAAGAACGTTCTTGGGGAGTAAACTCCAAAATGGAGCTTTAAGGCTACCTAGTCCCAATTTCTTGTTATGCAACTAGTCAAGGACTTTATGTAGAGTCATTAGAGGCTAGA